TTAATGCGTTGTCTGGCCTGGGCCTGGAACCGTGTCTGGGTGTGGATCTGGATCGGGGGTCTGTTGTCTATGTACTCGCAGCAATCAGGCAAAGGTAAACTTTTGTGCGGCCTTTGTGCTGGCCGGGCAATCCGACTCATACCGGATCGGGTGCTCGGAAAAGCTCAACCCTCTGATCAATTTGTTTTGAGCTGTGGAATATTTCCAACATTTATGCTGGTACGGCATCATCGTGACATCATTTGCATAGCCCGCAGAAGCCTCCTCGGGTGACTTCGATCCAATTGCCCAGCATTTCTCGGTGAGTCGGCACTTTCATTCATCGATTTGTTTATGCAACAATTGATGATTGTGTTTATGTTTGGCCAAGCAATTGAATAGCTTTCTTTCGAAGTTGATCGTTTGTTGTTCCCCATTTTTTGGCGAGCTTCCTTTAAATGGGGACGCGCTGGTTGAGTGGGTCAAAGAACTTGTAGGGGAAATTTTATGACAATTATTGTTTGGATCTTTCCACTCTGCGTAATTTTTTATGGTCTTTACAGGGTTTAGGTGAGGGGTATATTCGATATAGCTTTTTGTTTCTACCTCTTTTCAAAATGTTATTTATTTTATATGAATTTTCCATTAATTTATGTATATCAAGGATAGTCTTCTTAGATTTACTAATTAAGGGAAATGGTTAATTTAACAAATTTACAACTAATAATATACATTTTTTCTTTGTTTTGTTTTTACATTGTCGCGTTCTTGACCTAACATTTCGATTATTCGTTTGATTTATAATCTCTGAGCATTCCCCAGGTAAAACGGGAGAAAAAACATTGACTGTAAATTGTTGATAAAGTTTTGCCTTTGTTTCTTCTGTTCCGTGACAGACACACATCAAGGCTTTTCTGGTGACTTTCTTTCCGAGTTCAGGCCCTGCCATCACGTTCCGAGCATTGAATTTCATGTTGTTTGCCAAGAATGTTGGGTATCACATGGGCAATATCTTCTCACTATAAAGCTTAAAAAGGTCCAGAAAGATAGAAAGCTGAAAAGAGCCGCAAATTAGGGAATTTATGGAGGCCTGACTTTACGACACTTGTTGCGGGCCATTGAAGTTTGAAATGGAATTTCGCTGTTCTGAAAAACTGCTGACGCCATTCGCCTTCGTCGAGCATACGCCGCATTGTACGAGTCGACTGATTGTACGAGTTGCGAATGCGAATCGGACTCGTAACGAAAAGTGCTCTTGCTGAGCCCGTGCTCATAATTGGTTACAACTGACACAAACCAGTCCGGATCGGATGGCCAACTCAAAGAGCGACGGAGTGAGTCCGCCGGAGAGAGAGCGAGTGAGCTTTATCATTTTTCGGGGAGCCCCTCTCTCTGTGTATGGAGTCCTCTTAAAACTCAGATCTGCGGGGCTTTTCATCCACCCCTGTTTCGGTAGTGGTCTCGGACACGCTTTTCGAATTTTCGGACAATGTGTTCCGGTTTTTTCGTGTAACTCCCAAGCCCAATCTATCTAATCTGGCCTTCAGCAATGTGCTTCGACTGGAGGTCGTGGAGGCATTACTCACAAAATAACTTTATAGGCCCGATTCTGCGGCGTAATTTTAGAGTATAAAGATATACCAAAAAGCAAACACCCCTTTATTTTCTCATAATATAATATCTTCCCGCATTCAAGTAAATCCCATCTGGCAATCTTCGCCGTATTGTTAACCCATTAAAGCACTTTGATGTGGTGGCGTTTGTCGCCCAGCGTTCTAATTGATGCCATCAGTTTTATATTTGTATCTTTTTGTGTGGATATTCATGGAATGACAATAGCTGCTTGCACCCCACACAAAAGAAATGGTGTCATAAAAGCTTAATCAGCGGCAAACAAAGGCAAACATTCGGCTCAATTGAAGGTTCGCAGAAGGGAAATTCGATGCTAGCAGGGTAGAGTAGGGTGCTTAAGCTTAAGTAAACTAACTTGAATGAGTGCACTGAGAAAAAGAAATCGTGTTTATTTTTTTAAATCAAATTATTAAGAGTTTTATAACATTTAATTTTAAAATGAATTAATTACTAAGTTTCTTCTTAATTAAAAATTGAATTAAATTATAAAACATTATTTTAACGTTTGAGTTTCTTTCTCTGTAAAATTGGGGATGCGAGTGGATGCATCTGTGCTCAGCAAAAGGGAGAGAGCGAGCGAGCGGCAGAGCCAAGAATCCGTCACTCATTTACAGTTACGTTACAGTTACAGCGTGCAGCTTGCAGCAAAACTTTTCTGCTGGCACGCGAAAGCATTTAAAACCGACAACATTCGTTGAACTTGAAGTCAAAACGAATCCAATTGTTCACGCGGGCGGCAGCAGAGATCGCGAGCGAGTCGCGAACAGCTGATCGAAGGCGCAGTGATAGGGAGAGAAAATCGGCAGAGAGCGGTTTTCCACTCACTCGTTGTTCACTTGCCAGGAGCAGCGCGGAAAGCATCGCTACAGTTAGTCGCGAAATGTAAAATTCATAACAAATTGTTTAATTAGTAAGTTCAGTCGCTGATGGCTATTATTATAATATCCATTTTCGAAATATTTCGCAAGTGTGTGTGAAAAAAAAAGACCCAATATACGCAATAACAGTGTTTATGGTACAAGCGAATTTTAGATTTTTCGTGCTAAAAAAATCACCAAAGGAAAACCACAAATTCAAACGGTTCAAGGACCTTAAATGTGAAGGAAATGAACAGAAAAAATTATTATATTAGAAGATAATTTAAGTATTTAAATTTCCTCGAAAACTAATAAAAAAATGAAATATATTTAACAAAAAAATTTACAAGCAAAAGGATCTGAACTCAAGTAAAGTGTGAAAAATTGTTCGAATGAAATCGATCAGAATTAGTTTTTTTTTGGCTGCCAGGCACCAAAATCCTCACCTATATTTGCTTTGTTGCGGTAGTTAATGGCAAATATACTCCGTTTAGGCCAACACCTTTGCATAAGCATAATCTAGGCGCTGTTAATATTAGTCTAAAGAATTAATACGCTTCCAAAGGTGGTGGTCGCGAATCCCAGCGCCGATTTGTTAGCGCCTTTGATTCGATGTTCGATTTGTTGATGCTTTTTTATTATTTGTTTTTCGAGTATGTGTTAAAGTTAGCCGGAGGGTATCAGTGCGATCGCGGAACATATAAATGCAGCTTAGTCATTGAATTCGGTGAAAATCCCCATATGAACCGCGGATAACGGGGCGTATGAGCGATGATGAGTAATGAGCGTTGCTAGAGCATTTTTATTCTCCACTATGGGTTCGGTTGTTTGCAAAGGGCCAAGACAGACAGCCCTACAGTCTCTTTGTTTCTTTGTTTACTTGTGGCAGACAAAGGAGAGTGCAATGCCAGAACCATAAATACTTTTTTTGGTGTCTCTGGTTGAAAGATCATCCATCTGGCGGAGGTACAGTTGCCCAAATAAGCAACAGAGACCAGCACGTGTTGTGTTCTTTTTTTTTTTTGCGCGGGGAAAGTGCGATAAGATCGAACCCGATTTCTGTGTTATGGCATTGAGTTTTTCGGCTACGCACCCCGATTTTATGGCAGGTACTCAATCGCTAGTTAGCACATGGTGGAAGTCGGCTACTTGAGGGCTACAACGTCTGAAATTGGGCATTATCTAATCGCCGTGTACTCGCCTTACCCACTTGATTGGGTTTTAATTGCATTAGGGCATTAGCCGTGAGCTTTGATTTCTGATTAGTGTTACCAACAAATTGATATTTATTCATGGCTTACTGTATACGGAGTGTTGGCTACCACCACGGCTCCTCAAGTGTGTAATAAATTGTCGTCTACTAATTGCGGAAGAGCACGACGATGTTGATTAATCATGCTTTCTAGAAATTCCCAACATCTTTGAGGTTTGTCTTCTGTTTAGCCGAGAATAAGGCAAAGTTCACACGTTCACTTTCGCTATCATATCTTGTCTATTTAGTGATAAGCTACGCAATTTCGTTATTTATTTATTTTTGGCTAAGGAGAAACCTTACTTTTAGCTTGTTTAACTCTCCTTTCTACATTAATCTTTAATACAGCCTTAATATTGTTTATGCCCGGATAAAAGCTAAGAAAAGTAGCAGGACAGTAGCTTTGTGGTTATGGCCAAGATCTTGAAATGATAAAAATTGAGATTACCAAGCACATTTCCTGCCTGAACAAAAGAATGCCTATAAAACCCTCTCTTGAAACTTAGAGTTTCTATTATTTATTTAAGTTTAAAATAAAAATACGCTTAAAATATTGCCAAAATGGAATATTAAAAATAGTATGCATCTGTAAATAAATAAAAATCCAAAAATAACAGACATAACAAAAAGAAAGCGACCCAAAAAAGTCCATAAATTAGTACATATTACAAAATCTCAAACCAAATCACTAAGTTTGTGTTGAATAATTACCAGAATAATCGTAATGGAGTGAATCAGCCAAGAATTTCCCCTTCGATGTTGCATTATCAGAGTGTCGCTCGCAGAAATTGCTTAATCCGGGCTACACTGCGAATAGTCTCAACAGATATAAACCCAAATGAAACCGATAGGCTAAACTTATTTATAGGGCGAGTTAATAAAATACAGCGGACGGGGGTGGGCGGGGTAGTTGGCTTAAATAATTAGCAAGGCTATTTCCTTTGCATGCGCCACAATCCGATCACAAGGGTGGAGAGTATGAGGATGTAAATCAAATGAAATCGTATCGAATCCAATCAAGTATACGCCGTGTGGTGGCTCGTAAAAGACCGAAAAAATCACAAATCTCGAGCTTGGCCTGGCAAATTGTTTGTTTTTCACAGGTTTGGATTTAATTATGACCTGTTTCTGGCAGTCCCCCTCCCCCTTCACTCATTTTTTGTACCCTGTTGAATTCGATTTGCCGCCGCAGTCGCTGCTTTTTTGGCGCTCGACGACGCAGCAGCGGAACAGCTGTTTGGCGTTTTTAATAAACAATCGTCGGCATTAGGCAGCTCAGTTTGTGAGGAGCGTTCGGCGGACACACATCGCAACTAATCGAGCTCTGGCCAGCTCGTCCCAACGGGCCTAAACGGTTCCGCCAAGCGCTAAAGCCCAGCAACAAAGGCCAAAAGAACAAAAAAGTTTTGAAAACAAAATCAGCTCGCGTTTTAAAAACGGAAAAAGTTTGTGTTTACTTCAAGTCAAGCGTGCGCGTTGGTTTTCGCTTTTTGTGATTATCCAAATAGACAAAACAATTTGAACATCGCTCGCCGTTGACTGTTTTCATTTTTATTGGCCACGGCGTGTGCGGACAGAGCCATTGAACTTTGAAATACAAAAAGTATTTGGAAAATACATAAACAACAATACATATTTTATATATTTGTTTGCGGTGCGTCGCAGAAAAACGCTTGTTTCTACGCTGCAAGAATTGTTTAAATTTAAATTTCTGCTTTGCTGGTTCTTTCGTAAACAAATTAGTGGTCTGAGTTTCCCCATTTTCCCAGACCCGAGCACAAAGAGGTAAATAAAATTTCAGATTTATTAATTGAAAACAAAAATCCAAAAGGTGTTTGTAGCTTCTAAAATCAATTAAAATGTGTTTTGGCCCAGCCTTGAGTGGTTGCAACACTTGACAAGATTTGTGTATAATGTGTAATCAGCAGGAACCTTGGATTAGTTTCAATTTCATACAAAACTAACAAAAAAGCTGCTCGGTTCTTGGACAGAGCCCGCCTCTCGAGAGTGGAAAACTAAACTAGAAACCAGTTGCAGTCGCCCGAAATATGCGCGAAGCTCTCCGCAATTTATTCATTTATTTCGCCAAGATGTAAATCATAAATTGTAGGATCAGACACGCCGTTGTCGAGTGCCCATTTAAACTTCATTAGAAAAAAAACGGTTCTGAGAAATCTAGTCGAACATTACGAGGTCTATAGCGTCATCACTCCACACGTGTTGGGGGCCCCTATTGAGAGTCGATGGCTGTACTTGACAACAGTCTCATTTTCCGTGCCCGCGAGTGGAAGTATTAGTCAGTACCCCAGCGTGCCTTTTTTCGGGGTTTTATCTAAATGAACGCCTATATAAATATTTTGCCAGCCGTGATAAGCCCATGTAACCGGCTGGCTGGCTGGCTGGCTGGCTGGGGAGGAACCCGCTCCGGTGACCTTAATTTCCAGCTCGTTCAACATGCCGAACGATGTTTGGCCAAAGTCTGATCGCAGTTGGTTATCATCGGTCTCCGGATTAGCCTACGGTAGCCGGGAGCTTATCTTGCCCCATATGTCTGTCTACCTCGTTGGGCAAATGTTATTTCCTAATTGATATTCTCGCCAAATTCCCCGTCAACGTGCTAAATGATCCTATTTATTTGAGTATTACAATTATTTAGAGCCAATTAGCAGGAAAAACTTATAGGAAAATTGATGACAGAACGTGGCTGGGTACAATGAGCTATTCAAAAATAAAATAGCGAGTTAATCAGTATTGATCATAGACATGTTATAAATATCAAATTTTTCATTCTTTTTGCTCACTTTTGGGTGTTAAGTAAACTTTTGGCAGACCTCAAATATTTTATGTATAAACAAATCAAAGAAATGGGTATGCCTTCAAATTGTTTGTGGAAAGACTTACTTAGAGGTCTTTGTCGTCGCTTTATTTATTCAGTCTAGATCTAAAAAAACAGTAATAATCTTATTTAGATAAAAACGGAATAAATAATGCATATTTAGCTTTCGGAGAAAGGCACAATGACCCCAATTAATGATGTGAAAACACTCTCCTTGTTGCAGACTAAGCCAAAGCAGCAAATGTGACTATTTACAATAAATTGTGATACCAAAACACATGTGAACTCCGCTGGCAGTTGGCCTTGACTCATCTCCTCAGCGCTCGAGGAACATCGTCACAAGCATCCATAGTACAAAAAACCCTAACCAGCCAGCACTCAACTCACTCAGTTCCAGTGCAACACTCACCTCAACATGGATTTCGATCAGATTCTGGCCAAATGTGGCGACTTTAATCGCTACCAATTCATGATACTCGCCCTCTTTGGGTTTATAAATATCATCGTATCGATGGTGAGTTGATCATGATGGCTTTTAGATAAGCACATAAATAAATAAATATAAAATTTCCCTTGCAGCATTACTTTACACAGACAGTCATTAGTTTCGTGCCAGATCATTGGTGCTATCATGATAAGCTAGTGAATATGACCTACAAGGAGATCGGAGAGATCTACGCTCAGTTCGAGAATCCCTCGTGCACCCGACTGGAGGACATCAACGGGCACAACGTTACGGTCAGCAAATTGGCCTGCGAGCGTTGGATCTACAACTATGACTTTGGCTACAGAAGCATGAACACAGAGGTGGGTCTGCTATTTAACATATTATTATATATGCCTAAAACTAATCATTTTTTATTTAAATTTCTGCAGCTGAACTGGGTTTGTGACTCGGCGTACAAGGCGCGCATTGGCCAAAGTCTGTTTTTTATCGGCTCTGTGGTGGGCACCCTCTTCTACGGCCTGCTCTCCGATAAGATCGGCCGCGTCCCCGCCCTCATCCTGTCCAACTTCTGCGGCTTTGCTGGCGACTTTTCCACCATATTTACCAAGAGCGTGGCCACATTCACCCTCTGCCGCTTTATTTCCGGCCTTGCCGCCGACACAAACTTCTATCTGATGTACATTATAGGTGGGTTTACCGTTTATAATTCTTTATTTATAATTACTGAGCCTTTAAACTATCCGATTTAGTGCTTGAATATATTCGGCCCAGCATGAGAACCCTGGGCCTCAACATGGCCGTAGGCTTGTTCTACTGCCTGGGTCTAGTGTTCACACCCTGGCTGGCGGTGCTGGCCGGGCACTGGCAGATCTATCTGGCCTGCACCTCGCTGCCCATCCTTCTGGTGGTGCTCTACTACTTTGTGGTGCAGGAGAGCGCACAGTGGCTGGTCACACGAAACGACATTGACGGGGCCATTGTGCGGCTTAAGCGGGTGGCCAAGTTCAATGGCTGCCGGGTGACGCAGGCGGATTTCGACGAGTTCCGGCGCCACTGCCAGATGACCCGAGAGATGCAGGGCGGCGATGACAAGAAGCATGCCACGCTCTTGGACATGTTCAGGACGCCGCGTATGCGCAAGAACACCCTCATTTTGTTCTTTAAGAGGTAAGCCCTTCGCCAAATTAACTATTTTGTGCATTTTTTTAAGTTTCTAATTTTTTAAAAATAATTTTCCCACAGCATGGTAATCACTCTGTGCTATGATGCCGTCTCCCGAAATGTGGAGGGCATGGGCATTTCGCCCTTTATCATGTTCTCGCTCAGCGCTTTGGCCGTGCTGCCCTCGAGTATCCTGCTGGTCCTGCTGCAGGATCGCATCGGACGCAAGGGAATGGCCTCAGGATCGTTGCTGGTCGGTGGACTCTTCACCGCCGCCGCCGGCATTGCCATTGCTTACCAGCAGCACAACCACAACGCCATCTTACTGGCCTGCCTCACAATCGCCGCCAGGTTCGGAGTGGCCATCTCCTATGAGTCGGGATCACAGTACGCCACCGAGCTGATTCCCACCTGCGTGCGAGGCCAAGGAGTGGCCGCTGTTCACGTGGCCGGATTCGCGGCATCCTTCCTAGCGCCCTACATTCTCTGGCTGGGCACCTTCTTCAAGGCGGCACCCTCGATCATCCTGGGCGTGCTCTTCTTCGCTGGCTCCTTTGTGTGCCTGCTGCTGCCAGAGACGCTCAACAGGTTAGTAGTCAGCCAGGATACATTATGTATACCAATGGAGGTGACTTTACTAGAATAAACATAACTAAAATTTCATTTTACCCTTTAGGAGTCTGCCCACAACCATCGAGGAGGGCGAGGTGTTCGGCAAGGGAGAGCGCATGTTCGACTTCCCGTGTCTGCACAACCGTCACGACGACGAGGAGTCCGACTCGGAGCTGGAGAAGTACAAGCGCAAGCACTCGCTGATCGACGCCAAGCAGATGGAGTCCTCCTCGAACGGAAAGCGCAAGCAGTCCCTGATCGACGCCGATCGCGAGGAGCAGGCCCTAAAGGACGCCAAGCACTGAGGGGGCAGATCAGTAGATCTTAGTTTAGCTAACCAATTTTTGCCTAGACCTTAAGACCCAAAGCCCCAAGAGATCCTCGCCGGACCAAACCCCAGGATACTGTGGCCAGCAGGAGGCCCTAAAATGTGCTCAGTATGCGGAAGCCTTTTCTTATTTGTGTAGTGAACCCGATTATATAACTTTATATATACTTATATATTATACCTTCTCTAGCTGGTAATGACCTAGGGAGTAGCTGTACATTTAACTCTGTCGAAACTGATTGTTTTTCCAAATCGCTGATTGTGTATAAGATGGAATCGTATAGTTAACACTTAAGCGGCACAAAGATCACTTAACTAAACCAATTGAATACGTAACGTAAGAGTTTTTCATACACTATATATACTGTACATAAGTGCGATACTACTTAGGCCAGTAACTGAATGTTCTATTTTTGATTTCTTTAAGCAAATGAGAACCATTAAGAAAACTGATAATAATTAATTAAATTTAGAAAACAAAAAATGTGAAATATACAAATCAAATTCAATTTCATTGTGTTGAAGATCCTTTTTTATACATCGGATATTTCTATATGTTTAAAATCAACGATGGACACAAGATATAACGGAAACAGCTACTGCAATCCTCTTAAACGACGCTTAACTTTATTTTCTGAATTGTTTTTTAAGCTTTTTGCTTTATTTACTCAGTTTTGCTAATAGTAATTATATTATGAGACTTTAATCCCAAGTGTGATTTTTTTGTTCATATATCATATGTGTGTTCTAAAACCAATCATTAATCACAAGTCATTAATCAAGTATAAAAAATACTGGCTTGTAATATTTCAGTGCCTCATTGGAAGCTTAGATACCATTAATTTAATTAATTTTATAATTGCTCAATGTAAAATCAGACAATTACATCCATTCATTGACCTTATTAGTTGATTCCTAGTCATTCCTCATCACATACCCCTAGCTCTTATAGTTAAATTTCAAGTATACATTTTATTTGTGAAAGAAAAGGAGTACATCATATATATTTATACCAGTTCTGTTTTGAATATATATACGGTTAGATATAGGTGTATTATACAAAAACGGTGTTGGTTTAATTACTATGCATCCTTCACATGAGTAATAACTATCAGACCATTGGGTTACTGGGGTCGCTGGGTGGCCCCATCATCAGGTTGTGCAATTAGCAAGTAGATTAAGTAGTAGTCGCATATCAGGTGCATCACTCTCTAGGGTTCAGACTTGAGGTCCTCATGCTTGGTCAGACTTTCGCGGCGCTTGTGGAAGCATGGGAAATACAGGCAGCTCTCGTTCATGGCAAAGCGTTCGCCATCGGCCAGGGTCTCCGGTAGTTTTCTGGATCAGATATTTTTATTAAAAAACTTGAGTTTATCTTAAAATATTTCTACTCACTTGTGCAGAGTTTCTGGGAGCGACAGGCAGAGCAGAGCGCCCAGGAACATCAGGCAGCTGATGAAGATCGAGGGCAGGGGCTTGTAGTACTGGGCCAGGTAGATCACGTAGAAGGCCAGCGAGCTAGAGGCCAGGCCCACCACATGGATGTTGGACACCGCCTGTCCTCGCACGCTCGTCGGGATGATCTCCGCCGCGTACTGGATCTCCGCGTCGTAGGAGACGGTAGATCCGAAGCGACCCAGAGCCACCATACAGGCCAGCAGGACGGCGTTCTCGTTGGGGTCCAGGACGGCAATCAGGAACCCAGTGACGGCAGTGATAATGGCGCCTACCAAGAGGGCTCCGCACGCCATGCCCTTCCGTCCAATCTTGTTCTGCAGCAAGAGGATAGTAAAGCCCGCCGGAAGGTAAACGCTGGAGGTAAGGGAGAAGAGCTTAAAGGGCGAGGAGCCCAGGCCCTCCATATTCCGGTTGATTACGTCGTAGGATAGCGTGATGATGACTCTGAAGATTTTTAAAATTATATATATTTGAGACTTCATGGAGAAGGACTTACGATTTAACAAGCAGCGTGGTAGTAAAGCGACGAAGCCGGGGGGTCTTGAACATCCCCAGGAAGGTGTCCGTCTGCTTGTTCAGCTTGCTCTCCTCATTCATTTTCTCGCGGTAGTGCTTCACGAACTCGTCGAACACGGAGTCCTCCACCTGCCGACCATTGAACTTGGCCACTCGCTTCAGACATGCCACCGCCTCATCATACTTCTTCTTGGTCAGCAGCCACTGGGCGCTCTCGCAGATCAGCAGCGGGTAGATGAGCACTCCCAGGGCGGGGAGCGAGGCCAGCCAGAGGTAGCGCCTCCAATTACCAATCCACATGGCGAGCCAGGGCGATGTCATCAGGCCGAAGCAGTAAAACACTGCCAAAATAATGTTGAGGCCGAAGGTGCGGCGCTTGGGGCTCAGGTACTCGAAGACTGACAAGTATATAAATTAAATTTATTAAAATAATTTATAGATATTATTGCAGTTTCAGATGGTCTATTATTACTGAAAATTAAGACAGAAATAAACCAAAAGTCCCCTAGACTAAACTCACCCAAGATGTACATAAGATAGTACATGGTGTCTGTGGATAGTCCCGACACAAATCTGGAGAAGGCGAACCAGGGCAGAGTGTGCACAAAGGAGGTAATGAAGTCACCAGTTGCTCCGGAAATGGCCGCCATCAGCATGGCGGGCAGCCTCCCAATGTGGTCCGAGAGAAAGCCGAAGGTAATGGTGCCCACCACAGAGCCCAGGAAGAAGAAGGACTGTCCAACTGCCGGCTGGTGGGACTTTTCGCAGACCCACTTCAGCTCGGTGGTCAGGCTCTCGTAGCCATTCTCCCGCTCAAAGATCCAGTCCTCACAGGCCTCCTCCTGGGCGGCCACACCGGTGCCATTGATCACCTCCGAGAGAAGAGTGCAAGAGGAGTGGGAAACGTTGGAGTAAATGGAGCGCAGTTCGGCGGCACTCAAGCCCATTAAATCGTCATGGGAGCACCTGTGGGTGGTATTTCCAGAAGGTGTAAAGCAAACTTAACAAATTTTTCTTAATTTGGCGACTCACCAATGCTCTGGTGTAAAGGTAATCAGAGTCTGGGAGAAGTAGTGCAGCGAGCTGAGTATGTTCGTGTAGCCGTACAGAATGAGCAGGACAAACTGAAAGCGGCCGAAGTTTCCGCACTTCTGCAGCACACGATCGAAATCCATGTCGATCTCAATAGAACCTTAATGGATCACTGGGTATAAGTATATACTATATAGAAAGGCGAAGAGACTTTGTAAATGCGCTGAGACTTCCAGGCGAGAAAGCAGCTACATTCTGTCTGTGCCCGCAGTATTTTGACGCTTGGCTTGGACCGGCGTATGCCTTATATAGTATAGCACAACGATAGAGGCGTTGCCTCTGATTAGGATGGGTAATTAGTAACAGAGATGGGATCAGGCTATCTCCGAGTATCTCCCACGTTTTTTGGGGTGTGTGCCAATGATAAGGTGTTGAGACCAGAGCAAACATTCAGTCGAACTGGAGAACGAACAACCCTACACATGATCTGTTTGGTTAACCCAAGTAAAATTGAAAATGTCATATTCTTAAGATGTCTTTCCTATACACCTTGAGTAACTATTTTTTTAACTCATCCCACATTGACCTTGGACGAGAGAAGCCCTTATGAACAGGGCTTAGATGAACTGCGTCTTTCGGCATTGCTGGCTTATCAGGCATTTAACTTGGTCAACTGCCCGAGTGACGGACTTTCTCGAAAAATTTCGGCTTGTTGACTTTGCCTTAGATTTATAATTGACTAAGCCGCAGCTGCCGTGCTGTAAGTCACGCCTGAAACGGAGTGTACTTTCCTAGGGATTAGCCGGATATGCGAATTCTTTGTTTGGCGCCTGACACTTTAATGAGAGTTCCCGTTTAGAGATATAGATTATATATAGTATAGATTACAGGTCTGGCTCGCGAAGGCGCCAGCCGAAGCCCCCCGAAATGCAGTGAGAATTTGCTTATCTGGACATGTAGTAAAAGTTCCGGAACCACCGGCGTGATCAACATAAATCAAGCCCTAAAGAGGCTTCTGGGTTGTTTGAACAAGCCACTACGTAGGTGTACTGGACCCTAAACAAGCTTAACAGATGTCTGAGCTGCGGCTAACGACACATGAGCACTCGCTGAATGCGTTCCGGATGTGGTGAAATCGAGTAGATTCATTGGCACCCATGCCCGATACCTTTAGCTATTAAGTCGTTACCGGATAAGTGCCGCCTTAAGTGCCCCCTAAAAGGCCAGTACAAATTTATCTTAGTGTTAATTGTGATTTTTAATTTGTTTTTATTTTCTGTCTTTATACATTTACTAAGGCTACTTTGTAGTTTCGTTGGCTGACTCCAACTGAGATGCGGCTTTGTTTGTCTGCTGTCTGCGCGAGAAGCAGGGAAAGAAGTACCACTTCTCGCCCTTGCCGAACACCTCGCCCTCCTCCAAGGTCTGCGGCAGTTCCCTGTGAACGGAAAATATACATTAGGATCTAGGAAATAGTAAGAGGAACCTCCGGTCCAAACACTCACTTGTTGAGGGTCTCGGGAAGAGTCAGGCACAGGCCCGCCCCGATCAGAAGTAGGAAGCTGATGAGCAGCGAGGGCAGCGGCTTGAAAAAGGTACCCAGAAAGATGATGTAAGAGCTGAAGAAGGCGAAGGCATTGCCCACCACATGGATGTTGGCCACTCCGCGTCCTCTTACGCTGGTCGGAATGATCTCCGCCGCGTATTGGGCCTCCGCGTCGTAGGCCACCGTTGCCCCGAATCGGCCCAGGCTAACCATGAAGCCCAAGAGAATCGAGTAGTCCGCCGGATCCAGGATGGCCACAAGGTAACCAGTGGTCGCCGTGATGATGGCCCCCATGAAGAGCGAGGCACAGGCCATGCCCTTGCGCCCAATCTTGTTTTGGAACAGGATGATGGTAAGGCCAGCGGGCAAGTAGCAGAATCCCGAGTACGAGAAGAGCTTAAAGGGAGAGATTCCCACGCCCTCCACATTACGGCTCAGGATATCAAAGGCAATGGTGATGATCATTCTGTGGCGAAGGAAAAGGGAGTTTGGGAGCTTATTTAAGACTCTTTAGCGCCTCCACTTACGATTTGATTAGCAGAATAATGGTAAACTTCCTCAGCCTCGGAGTCCTCAGCATGCCCATGAATGTGTCCGAGGATGTCTTCTGTGCGGTGTTGAGCTTCTCGCGATAATGTTTTATGAACTCGTCGAAAACAGAGTCCTCCACATGCCGCCCGTTGAACTTGGCGATGCTCCGCAGACTGCTAACCGCCTTGTCGAACTTTCCCTTGGTCAGCAGCCACTCGACGCTCTCGTGGAGGCACAGGGGATAGATCAGCATGCCCAGGGCTGGGAGAGATGCCGCCCAGAGGTAACTGCGCCAGTTGCCCAGCCAGATGGCCATCCAGGGCGAGATCACCAGTCCGATGCAGTAGAAGACCCCCAAAATGATGTTCAGACCGAAGGTGCGGTGCTGCGGACTCAAGTACTCGAAGACTGAAAGGAAAACGCTTAGCACTGGCGTCTTTGAAGTCTAAAGACTGAGCTCACTTACCCAGAATGTACATCAGGACATACTGCGTGTCCATGGAGAGACCAGAGATGAAGCGCGTGAACGAGAACCAAGGCAGGCTGCTCACGAAGGAGGTGAAGAAGTCACCGAAGGCACCTGTCAGGGTGGTCAGGACGCAGGCTGGCAGACGACCAATGCGATCGGCCAGATAGCCAAAGAAAATGCTGCCCAGGGCGGAGCCGATGAAGAAGAAGGACTGACCCACCGCCAGCTTGTAGGCGTCGTCGCACACCCACTCCAGCTGTTGTCAATATACCGGACGCAAGTGTTTAGTCTCGAAAAGTGTTTCCTACTTTTGGGCTGAGCACTTACCTCGGTGGTGATGCTCTCGTAGTTGCTTTCCCTGGCGAATTCCCACGATTGGCACTTGGACTCATAGAAGACCAGATCGCTATCGAACTGGCGCACACTGCAGGAATCCACCTCCAGCAAGGTGACGTTCTCAGGCAGGTCTTTTAAGGGCACAGAACATCTGAAACAAAGTATAGGTAAATTTATATTAGATAGGTTTTTTAAGAGACTGCAAAATTTAAAGAAGTTTAAGGAAAGATCCCTTCAAAAATATTTGTAGGCTAACCAAAAGAGTTATAAATTATTTTACTTAGTTAATAGACTTTTCTTTAGAAAGGAAAAGTGTAAGTTGTAAATTGTATTTCTACAATTGTTTTGTTTTATTTTTGCAATAAATTCGTACAAGCTGGACCACACGTCACTTGTTTGGTGGAATTCACAATTTTTATAGCTTAAGTGGCGACGAATTTCATAATTTTTTTCAAACCTGTGTGGGGGCGTAAAGCTGATGAGGGTCTGCGAGAAGTAGTGAAAGGACGACACTATGTTCGTGTATCCGTAGAGGCCCAGGAGCAGTATCTGGTAGGGGCCAAAGTTGCCACACTTCTCCAGGACGCTCTGGAGATCCATATTTTTTTTGTTACGCGAGACTGCTGCGATCGCGAACCAGCGACTGATGCCGCCGAACCGCTCCGAGCAGGTGGGTATATACCCGAATCTGGATCGGAACCCGAGAGCAATTCCGAATCCGAGTCGGAGGGCTCACTATATGGCCACATCGCGCTAATACACTGCAAACAGTGAATATCGCTGCTAGTTTTATCTCGCGAAAGAAGGCGTTTGAACAATTTCCGACGTCTGGCTTCTGTTGGCGTGTGGAGAGCTTCGGTCGGGTCGCATGGGATCGGATCTGTATACCTAAAAATGACGCCCGCTGAGCATAAGTTTGTCCGGCGTATCTTTATGGGAGTTTAACGGGGTGGATAAAGGGAAGCTGTCTGGCAAATAGAAACAGGTAAGTCTGCTCAAACAATGTCGCGTCTATATTACAGGCACTTAGGGTTCTGGACACTTTGTTATAATTTTCCGTAGATATAATTCAGTTTTAATTTCATAAGTGTTGTTCGGATTTCAAGTAAATTCCACAGGCTAATTTAAAATTCAAAGTGTGATGTAAAGGTAGGGATGTAATTCCTATAAAGGATATGTATATTAGCACCGGACAATACTCTCAGACCAAGTGGCTTTCTTTGTTTGTTGTTTGATTTTTAGAAAAAGCTTCTTAAACAAATTATTTAGAGGTGTGTTTTATTTTATTTGCATCTATATTCTAGGTTATTAATAACCCCTGCCCATCATATGAAAGCTACGGAATTCATATATTCAAAAGTAGACAGACGAGTCTGTCGACTGCGAGTGCATCTTGGCGCTCTGGGTGGCCAGCGTGGTGGCCGATGGGCTACGCTTGTCCAGGAAGCTGAAGGTATACCAGCGGTCATTCTTGCCAAAATCCTCGCCATCCTCCAGCGATGTGGGCAGCGTGCGATTGAGCGTCTCAGGCAGCAAGAGGCATAGGCAGGCCCCCAGGAGCGATAGGAGGCCCAAGATAATCTCCGGTAGAGGTGAGAAGATGCTCCTCGTGTATAGGATGAAGGCGCTGAAGAAGGTGAAGGCATAGCCGGCCACGTGGACGGCAGCCACACCCTGACCACGTACGCAGGTGGGAATCAGCTCAGTGGCGTACTGGGCTCCCGAGTTGTAGGCCACCGTTACCCCAAAGCGACCGATCACCGACAGGCTGACCACCAAGGTCGTGGCTGCAAGGCAAGGAGAGAAATTTATGTTTGCTAAATAGGATTAAAATTTAAAAAGTATATACATATGTATATACTTTTAAGAAATTAGTGAGCTTATTATAAATTTCAGTCTTAAGCTAGACAATTACTGCGCATCTATAGCTCAATCGGATTCAACTCACTTCTGTCGGAGGCGGAGGCGGCGTAGAGGACGCCCCCGGTGACCGAGATGAAAATGCCACTCAGCAGCAGCGAGGCAGAGGCCATTGCCTTGCGTCCGATGCGATCTTGCAGAGCGATGATGAGTAGGCAGGCCGGCAGAATGGCGGTGGCGCTCAGCGAGAACATAATAAACGGCGAAATGCCAAGGCCCTGGACGTTCCGAGAGACGGCGTCGTAGCAGAGGGTGATGACCATGCTGCTCGAGTGGGTGGATCGGGGGAATTAGGGGAATCATGTTCAGCGCAGACTACTCACGACTTGAAAAAGAGGATGAACGTGTTGCGACGCAGGCGGGGTGTCTTGAACAGGTGCAGCAGGTGCGGTGAGGCCTTCTGGTTCTGTTGACTGAACTTGCACTCCTCCACAAACTCCTCGTAGGCGCTCTCCTCCACCCGCCGCCCGTTGATCTGGGCCACTCGCTTTAGGCAGACCACTGCCTGGTCGTACTTCTGTTTGGAGATCAGCCACTGAATGCTCTCTGGGACAATAAAGTAAAATAGTGGCACCACCAGCAGGGGCAGCGAGGTGACCAGCAGGAAATCCCGCCAGCTGCCCATGAGCACGGCGATCCAGGGTGCCGCCATCGATCCCAAGCAGTAGAAGAAGCCAATGCAAATGCTCAGGCCAAGGGTGCGTAGAGATGGACGCATGTACTCCATAACTGGGCAAGGGAGAAATATGGTATGTATTTTGTATAACTCTTTAACTGATATAACCTACCCAGAATGTACATCATCACAAAGTTGCTATCCGTGGCAATGCCCGAGATTAGGCGAAAGGCACAGAAAAGCGTCAGGTTGGTGCCCCAAATGGTCAGCAGGTTGCCGGTCATGGCTATCAGGTTGGCCACAATCAGGATGGGCAGACGTCCCACCAGGTCGGCGAGGTAGCCTAGCACCATGGAGCCCACCACGGAGCCCACGAAGAACATTGACTGGCCGAGGGTGAGCTTCCAGGCATCACCGCATATCCAGTCCAACTCGCTGGTTAAGCTCTGGTAATCCAGGTACAGCTCATAGCCGTAGCTGTGGCAGGTGCTGGAGCTATTCTGCCCCAGTGGCAGGCAGCTAGACGTGTGCGGCGACTCAAAGTTGGCGGGCAAGTCGTCGGCACACCTGGGCGTATGAGTAATGCGTTAAGTATACGACGTGGGGGACACACGCATACGCACCAGTACGTGGGAACGAAGCTGATGATCGTCTGGGAGTAGTAGTGAAGCGCCGATAACACATTGACCAAACAGAAGAGCAGCAGCATCAATAGCTGAAGCCGGCTGCAGTCGCCGCACTTCTCCAGGATCTTGTCCACCTCCAGCATAGTGATTTCAAGCACTTCGCACCACCAGCATCCAGTCACGCCGCTCACCGTGTCCTCATCTTCGCCGCTGCATCTGCGACTCACTTAATTGCCCGCGTTGAATTTTGTTTGCTTAATTGGCAAAACCAATTAGAGAGCTCGGCAATTCTTGCCAGACCGAGATCAGAAATAATTCCGGTAGATTATGTTTGACAGCTGCTGCGTTTCGTCATATACTCTCATTTGCTTTTGTTTTTACTGGACGTTTACGGGCTCTAGACCGTTAAACCTGCCACGGGCTTCAAGCCTGGTTTGGATATTAAACTAACATTTTGTGTACACCGTTAGCAGTTCCAAATAAAAGTGGATGTTGTTATCATTCAGCTATCAAAAGATATCATCTCTAATAGCATTAAACTAAACTTCTAAAAATATCAGAGAGATAATAATAGCAGAAGCTAAACTCCCCCTGTAAGATGTGCTCAATTACATCAAGAAATTAAAGTTATTCCAACACAAAAGTCAATATTTCAATATTTCCAGAAGTCGCACCTGAGATAGACTAACTTTAAGATGCAAGGTGCACATCTTTTTGTTAAGGACAATGTCGAAACTCGCGATAAGACACCGATTTAATGAATTGCCACAGATTAAATCTGTGTAGTCACTGACCGACAAATCGCGATTCGCGAGCGAAATGGCGATGTCAACCGCACGGAACGAAAGTAAAGTTTGATGTGGGGCTTTCGACTTGCCTGCAGTCGTATTTTTTGCGAAAACGAAATTGCACAATATATGAATGATACGTATACACGGAGACTGTATGCACTCAGGCATACTCATTACTGATTTTTCCGATAAAAAATACTCTTGTTCTGATGTAAAATTTAAATGTTTTAATGTTTTATCCTTTTTTAGGGATAATTACTTCTTGATAATGTCAACTATTACAGTTAAATCTGCTCTACAGTTCAGATTTTTCGTTGGGCAAGTAAGAAATAAATTGTGACTGCGAAAAGCAAAAAATGATAGGCCTTTGTTAGGGTCGAACTGCAGCGACGAGGAGATAAATATAGATTTTTGGGCACTGTGATTGCCAACATGCAAAGCTGTTTATTTACGGTTATTATAGCGACAACTTCATGAGTGACGTCAAATCAGGCAATTGCCCATGGGTGAAATTCTACGTAGTTATTATGATTTTTGAGTTGATTTTGGCATTGAAAAATGCTCACATTAAAAGTAGGCTTACTCTTGGTTATAAAGTGTAATTAATTGCATTTCCCTACCTAAGAAAATTTATGTTAATTATTGGGCTACTTTTATTTTATTATCTTCTTAATTTCATTGATTCATTGGTTCTATACTGCTCCTCTTCAAATTTAAATTACTTTTTAATCGAATTTTTAGATGCATTTTCCTGTGATTATAAAACCCATGTTAAATATTTACCTATCGATACTATAATTCTAGATCCAGCTTGTTCTGCCTTCGTCTATTGTTCTTAACGATACAAAGTCACAACATATACTTTCGGTAATACTGGGTGTAATCAGTCTTCGAGTGGAGTTTTATTAGATGACAGGCAATGAGCAATAAATTCCCCTTTTCTTAGACAGTTTCGAACTCAGTGTTTTCTTGTTTTTTGTGAAAGCAGGGAAAGTACAGGAAGCTCTCGTTCTTAGCGAACTTCTCTCCGTCCGTCAGGGTTTCGGGCAGCTTCCTGGAAGGTAGAAAAGCAAAGTTTAGCAAAGTGAATGGAGTCTCTCAATTATAAAGTACTTGTTAAGAGTCTCCGGCAAGGTGAGACACAAACCGGCGCCAAAGAACATCAAACAGCTGATAAAGATCGACGGCAGGGGCTTGTAGTACTGGGCCAGGTAGATCACGTAGAAGGCCAGCGAGCTGGAGGCCAGGCCCACCACATGGATGTTGGACACCGCCTGTCCCCGTACGCTCGTCGGGATGATCTCCGCCGCGTACTGGATCTCCGCATCGTAGGAGACGGTGGCTCCGAAACGACCCAAGCCCACCATTATTGCCAGCAGCAGGGCGTTGTCCGTGGGATTCAGGTGGGCTATCAGGAACCCAGTCACCGCAGTGATAATGGCGCCCACAAAAAGAGCTCCACAGGCCATGCCCTTGCGCCCGATTTTGTTCTGCAGCAGAAGGATGGCCACTCCGGCGGGGAGGTAGACGATCGAGGTAAAGGAGAAGAGCTTAAAGGGCGAACTGCCCAAGCCCTCCATGTTGCGGTTGACCACATCGCACGAAAGGGTTATAATAACACTAAACACAATGAAAAAGAAAAATAGAAATACATATGTACTAAAGATTAGCGAAATGATCAATCATTGAAGTCCATTTAAAATGTAATATCTTTGATATCTTCAATTTCAAGGTTTAAAAGAAAGGAATATAACTTTGGGGCGTCAAAGTTTACATATCTTTTTGAAAATATATACTTTAAAGGACCGGAATGACTTAAATATATTACCTCGCAATGGTGAAAAAATAAAACTCACGATTTCAGCAGCAAAGTCAGCGTAAATCTGCGCAGGCGAGGTGTCATGAACATAGCAAAGAAATTGTCCTCCTGACTGCTGATCGCCGACTCCTCTTTTGTCCTTTGGCGATAGTGCTTGACAAACTCGACAAACATGGAGTCCTCCACCTGGCGACCATTGAACTTGGCCACTCGCTTCAGGCATTCCACCGCCTCGTCATACTTCTTCTTGGTCAGCAGCCACTGAGCGCTTTCACAGATCAGCAGCGGGTAGATGAGCACTCCCAGGGCGGGGAGCGAGGCCAGCCAGAGGTAGCGCCTCCAGTTACCAATCCAGATGGCGGCCCAGGGCGAGGTAACCAGTCCGAAGCAGTAGAACACTGCCAGGATGATGTTCAGACCGAAGGTTCGGCTCTTGGGGCTCAAGTACTCGAATACTGAAAGGAACATTGTTTTAAATTAAGTGACTTAAAATACTATAATGGCACCTTCATTAACGAACTCACCCAGGATGTACATGAGGTAATACATGGTATCCGTGGACAAGCCAGACACAAATCTGGAGATGGCGAACCCGGGAAGAGTGTACACAAAGGAGGTGGCAAAGTCGCCCGTGGCCCCACACAAGGTGGCCATCAGCAGGGATGGCAGGCGACCGATGCGATCCGAGAGGTAGCCAAAGGTTGTGGTACCCACTACAGATCCCATAAAGAAGAAGGACTGACCCACCGCAGAGTGGTGAGATTTGCCGCAGACCCACTTGAGCTGGTTGTACATCAACACTAATAACTCTATCGGTTAGAGGACAGTGTATTTGCATACCTCAGTGGTGATACTTTCGTAGCCATTCTCCCGCTTGAAGATCCAGTCCTTGCACACACCTTCCTCAGCGACCACGCCCGTGCCGTTGACTACGCCCAGCAGAAGAGTGCAGGAGGGAGTGGATATGTTTGAATAAACAGTTTGCAGCTCCTTCATGCTGAGCCCTTCAAGATCAACATGGGAGCACCTGAAGAGGGAATAGATCATTATCCAGTCGGAGGTCTTCCTTTGCTGGGTAGGTGAGAATCCTACCAATGCTCGGGGGTAAAGGTGATGAGGGTCTGGGAGAAGTAGTGCAGCGATCCCAGAATATTCGTGTAGCCATACAGCAGGAGGAGCAATATTTGGAACCTTCCGTAGTTGCCGCACCTATCCAGAACCTGGCTAAAATCCATCTTTGACTAGAACCGATCCCTGCGACTGACTGTTTCCAACTCTCTCCGCAAACTGACCATCGGCTTTAAAGGCACCATGGTAGCAATACCAAATACCTAACACCACATTCCAATTGTTTTGTCGGTCAAAAACATATGGACTTCTGGGGGTAAGACGATAAAATCCCTTCTGCTTTCCAATCGGGCCCGGTTATAGTCCAGTGATGTCACTTCCACCACCAGCTAGGGCTCTGCAATTAGCGTCTGGATTTCCTACTTAACCTTCTTTACGACAATGTTGCATTAGCCTGACATTCTTGTTGATCAATTGCTTTGATCTTCAGGCTAAAAATAGTTAAAACATATGGCATCGACATCGACTGGCACGACTTCGATTCTCTGCTATACTTAGTTGTTGGCCAGTAACAACCGCGGAGGAACAATGCATGCAGCTGTCAATAGTTCTCCAGATGGCAGATACAAATTTGTGGCCATAAATTAAGCGCACAAAACGGTAAACAGAAGAATTGTCGCAGACACTTGGCTATGTGAGGAGCTGGATAATTGAAAGTGAATTCATTTTGAATGAATCACGTAGAATAGGGAGTTTTATTAATTTTTTAATACGATACCCTTACAAAAGAAGTGAAATAATAGCTCAAAACTTAAGAGTTTGTTTACCAGTGATGAGCAAATATCTAAAATGCACTATTGGCAAGGTAAGTTCTATATTGAGAGATTGAGGGATTTGGGATAGCCCAACAGTTTTCTAACTCAGTTTATCTTGAATCATATTTTTGGGCATACTTTAGATCAGATTAAAGACCTACATTTGGTAGTAAAGTATACTATTAAGAGGTATAAAATATGTTAACAAATATAATCGGCCTACTGGTGCATTAGGCCAAACTTAGCATAGATTTGTACTGCCAAAGTCAAGTTTGGGATATTCTTTTATTTTACAACAACATTTTAAAAAATTAACAATAATTTACTGCTACGATTTTAGGAAATATATATGGTATGTATATAACATATGTAAGAGCTCTTGTATACTTCTTCGATTTCGTTAATCCATTAATTTCATAGATTTGTAGATGTAAAGGTTTTGAATATTCTTGTTGCTTGGAACAATAAACATTTGTATAACAATATAAAATATACATAAATTTAGCAATACATGTTTTTTAATTTCGAAATAAATTGCCATGATTCTGTGAATTTAGTCCTGTTAATTTCTATGATACTCTTCTTAGACATTATTTTATTTATTAATATTTATTAGTTATTAATATTAACGAAAAACGAAATAAATAAATAACCAAGCTAAAATTTGTTGTTTATTTTCATGAATAAATATGGCCTTTAAATTAAATATTTTTAAGCTGGTATTCAAATTAAAGGTTAAAATCTTAATGAATAGGTATCTAATGCCTCGAAATTTGTGTGATTCAATGAATCTTCAGACACTGATGAATCTCTCTGTCTCTTCAAGTGAATTCCTTGTGACACTACTCTCCTCTTTGAAGGGTATTATTAATGACATTATTTGCCTAGACTGCGAGTGGTTATTTTGGCTCGATCTGTGGGCCAGACTAATGTGCCGGCACATTGGCGCGTTGACCTTTCCGCTTTATTAGGCTGTTGTGTCTGCAGAGGCCCCCCCAATCACCCCATGCGCCCCTGGCTCTGGGCCCGCTCCAGGCACTCTTAATTCAATTGCAGAACGATTGACCTTTTGCGTATGCACAGCAACTGCCATTTCATATGGAATCGATCCAACCGATCGGAGCGTCTGTGTTCTGTTCGGCTAATTACGCGGGGAGCCCATGCAGCAGCAGGTCCTAGGCCAGTCGATGTTAATTTAACATTTCAATTGTGTGCGGCCAAATAAATTCTCACATAATTGCCAAAAAGTCGCGCTGTCCGTCCAGGGGGGAATCGAACGGCGGCGAATCGAGGCAACAAAAGTGAAAGGGCACCGCTCCGACCGGCTCTGACTCTGGGGTCCCTTTAAGTGGTTTAGCGGAAGAATAACCTTTCTAAGTCGACACGATAACTGCGCCAAAGTTGTGGCACAGGCACACGATTTGCCGCCAGGTGGGCAAGAGGCCACAGGGACCCCTTCCCCGCCAGCGTTTAGCAGCAGCTCCTCTGCAACGCCAGCGCCATGTGCATGATCGCTGGCTGAACCGAAACCGACTCGGCCGGGTCTCTCTTGATCTCGAATTAGTGTATTGCCTCGGCTGCTGCGCCATGTGAAGCAGGCGACATTTGGCGCCGGTTGGCAGTATAAATGGCCAGAACGCGCGGCCAGGGCCTGCAGTTTGGGTTACTCCTTCTAGCGCGATCGTCGTCGAATTCAAAGCTACTCAACGGCCACTCTCTGAGGTGGTGTGTGTGTGTGAGCTGAGCCTGTGACAACTGTGAGCGAGTGGCAAGGATACCGTGCAAAGGACAACGTTATGCTGAAGGTGTGGATAAGACTAGGAACTAGGACTAGGACTTAGAAGTCTCTTAAAGAGTAAAAGTCATGGAATTTTGTACATCGAAACCACTTTAATTGGTCATATTTCTAGTTAGAAGCTAGAAAATGGGAAATAATTAAGTAAATAATAACAAAAAAGTTGATAAAAACGGATTTACATTTGAATTAGACAATGAAGATGAATAAATGGTAGACATTAGTGTCTTTATATGGCATTAACTTTATCTGTTATGTGAATGAAAGTAAGACACCGATAAATTTTATCTTAACTGTAGTTTATTCCATAAATTTAACTCCAATTGAAATTAACTTAAAGATACATAAATTTTTCTAGTAATTAATATTAACTTCTCGTTTTTTGCATTGTCTTTCCAAGTTTTTCCTGCTGAGCGCCCTGCTCGGCATCGCCTATGCAGGCGTGATCGGACCCGGACCCTATTACGGCGGTCCAGCTGGACCCGGACCGCTGCACCCTTATGGCGGATATGCGCCGCCCCACGGCCCCTATCCCGCTCCCTATGTGGCACCCAAGCCGGCCGCTCCTGAGCCCTACGATCCCGATCCAAAGTACTCCTTCGGATATGACATTCAGGATGGTTACACCGGCGATCTGAAGTCGCAGCACGAGACGCGACACGGTGACGTGGTGAAGGGCAGCTACTCGGTGGTGGATCCGGACGGCACCAAGCGCACCGTTGACTACACGGCGGATCCCCATCACGGCTTCAATGCGGTGGTGCGCAAGGAGCCGCTGGCCTACAAGGCTCCGGCTCATCTGGCACCAGCCCTGGCCCCTGCACCGGCACCAGCACCGGCCTACCATCACTTGCCCGGTCCAGCTCCGGCTCCACCTTTGCCGCCGGTGCCCAAGGCTCCCCTGCTCTCGTATCCGCTGGCCCTGAGTGCTCTCCACCGGTCAGGACCAGTTCCCGCCCCAGCTCCCGCTCCTGCTCCTGCACCAGCCCCCATTCCAGTGCCAGTGGCTGCCCCCGTTCTGCCCTCCGCCCACTTCCATGCCGCCTACCCCGCCCTGGCGCACAGCCCCTACGCCCACTATCCGGCTCCCGGTCCGGCGCCCGCACCCGCACCCTTACCGGTGGACCCGCACGCCTACTATCACCACTGAGCGAACAATGTTCCCAACGATCTGATCTGACTTGATTCGACTTCCTTCTGTCTATCGCACGCAGCTTACACTGACCCACAACTGAATCTCCGGCCCACTCTGTGCCAAACGCTGTACACTCAATCTCTTTTGCTGTGTTCTTCGAGGGATTTGATGCCGATCCGATGTGTAGATTGATTTAAGGACACGCCTAGCCCATGTACATATCTCAAGCGTATGTTGTTGAATGGTTAGCCTAGACTCTAGAGGAATAAACTAAGAAACCGAGAGAAGCGTTGTTTAATTTCCGTACCTCCCGAAACCAGAAAGAGACCGCAGCTTAACGCAATTGATGTGTTTTATTAATTGTATCAACTTTTCGCAATGGTTCATATATGTATATGTTATATGATATCGTATGTGGCATATCTCATATGTATAATTTATCTGATTATGTATAAATATATGTATGCGTGTTAGTTGTATATAAACGTTTCGAGTATGTCGCCGTATGATATAAATATGTTTAGTTCAATGCAAATTTCCCTTTGTATATTTATGTCTTGTGGTTTTCTGGATAGGTTCTATGAGCTACCATTCGTAGAACAGATTGAAATGTGTACGATATCGTTATATAGACTCCGACTGTGACTTCAAAAGTTCATCGCTATGTTGAGTGCGTTTTGGTCTCGCTGCACTCGGTTTAGGTATACAATTTAAATACGATTATAGTCCTTAGTTTTGTAATAAACGGTATCAAAAGATAGGTACGATTGAGTCATGCCTGCTACCACTAAATTAATTTCCAAGCTTCTATTCCAACACAAACGATTAGTTGCCAAGCTCGGGGCCCTGCGACTGCCTCCGTCAGATGGATGTGGTGTGTGTGTTCGGTATTTGTTATTTAAACTAAGGGCTTTAGGCTGAGATACCATACAAAGTGCTGTGCTCGCTCTTGAGGCCTTTACAATTGGACACAATTTAGCTACGTTGATCTGCTTACAATAAGAGACTAATATACGGTGTGTACTTACGATAAATAAGCGGCTAATATAGCTCACAATATTCCTTGACAAGTGTATAATATATAATTCATAATTCTTCGTTGATTGTTTGGCGTCGTCTCCGATGTGCCCGGACATTCGGATTCACGTGTAAGTTTTAAATCTACCATAGACAACCACTGGATGATGAAGACTATTTCGGGATATGCTTGAATTACTTTGCTTGATATCGTTTATCGTTTATCAGTATAAAACCGGGTTAAGGGGACAAAGAAATGGCAGCTTTGGCTATTCTCAACTCTCTCAGCTCTCGATAAATTCGTCCTCTACTACATGCTCCTATAAATGGTACGAGTATGTGACTTTAAAGGGATATGTTTCTCTAATGATTAGATAGTTGATTTAAGCATTTAGGTTTAGGTTTTGGTTTCGGTTTTGGTTCATTCGTTTATAACTTGAAACGGAGGGTTTTCTTTTATTAAACTTGATTGGTTATTGGTAGGACTCCTATTCCACAATTCGATTTGGTTTGCTTTGGTACGGTACGGTTAGAAAAATACTCATAGTGGGGACATTTTACTACACAGAAGTGGATGAAAATTTAGCTAACTGCATTTGTATGATAGTATATATCTATTTATATAATTCATTCTATATCTTAAGTCATTTTTTGTTTGCTAAGTGCCTGGAAATTCTAGTGACCTAGTTAAGATAAAAGAAAAGATAGTTTAGAATCCGAAATTATAAAAGTTCCTAAATCTCTTTCCATATTGTCATCATTTTCGTAATTAATTTGTTTATAAATTTAGTTAACTAAGGGTGGAAGTATCAAGATAAGTAAACTCAAAAATGATTATAAAGATATATAGAGCTAATATCTGATATTTATATATGTGTATATATATATGGGCTGTGTATATATTTATTTATCTGGGGCATATCTAGGTTAAAACGTTACACTCTCTTTGCTATATCTTTGCTTTTATTGATGTATTGTACGATATTGGGTAGACATCTAAATTTATCGATTCGATTAGTTCTTTGTGGTATTTGTAGGTAAGTTTAAAGCAGTTTTCGATATCATTTGATTCGTAAGAATATCTGAGTTATCCATTTGTGTAATTTGACTAGTTGCGTTGGAATGTTGTGTGGATTATCTAATGATTTCGTGGTTCTGGTAGTATTCGATATTAGATAGTTTCGATTCGATAAAGTAGATAGAAAAGGTGGTCCATTTAGTGATCGTATTCGTCAGCATATGATTAGGTTCACGGAGATCGCGATATCTACAAAAATAAAAACCAAAGTGCTAGTAACAAATAATAGTAAACGAGACGGTGACTTTCAATAATGGTTCTTTAATTAAAAACATTGCAGCACACTTTCAGTTAGCACAGATATTAATATTAAATAATATTAAGAAATAATACACAAGAACTCGGAATAAATAAGGATACAAATAAAAACTGATTGCATGTCTCGACATTTACATTGAAGTCGCTTATTGTATAAGCTTCCAAATGATATGGGGTCTATTCAAAAAACTTCTGCGCCTTGCCTCGTGTTTTGTATCTTTGAAGTTTACCTTCTTCGTTTTGTCAGTTTTTTGAATAAGTGCGAGTTATAACAGTTTATGATAATGCTTAGATTATGATATAGGTGTTTTCATTATTATATCGTGGGTATATATGTGTGGGCGTTACAGCTTATCTAATCATTAATCATTTCTGCATTTCTTCCAGCATTCAATATGTCTCACTTAACCGTACTTCGATAGGTGTATATAATATATATAGATTTGTATCTTTCATAACTACTAAAAAGTTTCCTCAGCTTTCGGCAAGCTCTTCACAAAACTCTCCTCCCTCGTATGCATACTATATGTATAAATATATGTATATGTACCACAATAGTTGTATGGATTTTACATTATCTGTATGTTAGGTTTGGGTATGTTTCTTGTTGTTTAGAATTTGATGCAGGCCCGCCAATTTGCAGCTATTTTTTTTGGGGTTTCATACTGTTTTCTTCCTGCAGGTGAGAGCCTGCTACTTATGCAGTTCCACGCAGGTCTTCTCCGTGGTCGTGGTTGTCGTTGTGTTCGTGGTGTTGCTGCTCGACGACTCGTCCAGGTCGTCGTTGGTGCTCTCCATTTCCTGCTCGGTTATGATGGTCACCAGGCCGCTAACGTTCTCTACAGAAAATTGAAGAAAATACTGATTATAAATCTATTTTAAAAACTTTTCCGATTTGAGTAAAGTCAAGTGACAACACAAATGTTTGCATTACCGCTTTAATCCAACACTTTCTAGGCAAGATCTGCGGGGCGGGGCGGAGGAATAAGAGGCAGAGCAAGAGAAATAATTGAGATTAGTATTTCGAAGATAGAATATACAACCAAGGCACAACATTGACGCAAGCAACACAAGGGAATAGAACTAAAAACCAACTGAATAAAACTTATAAATTACTCAAACTTCGTTCAATATTAAATGATATAACAAAATTATATACACACAAGTTTACGATCTTCACAACCTCTACAATAAATTTTCAAGAGTTTGTGCAAAACAGAACAGAAAATGCGGCGCCCAAAAGTAGGCACCACAAATGAAATACAAGCTTGACAGTGGCGGCCACAAAATTGAGCCCGCCACAAGTGACAGTGACTGCTCGCAATTTCCGCACCGTTCAAGTGCTGTTGCTGCTGCTGGAGCTGCTGCTGGTGCTGCATCAGGCTAGAGTGCGGCGGTGGGGGCGGGCGCCCGTCATCCCCCAAGTAGCCGCCCGCTGTCTGCATGCCGCCGGACATGTCGATGGCTCCATTGCCTGTCAGCAGGCTCCTCTGCTGCGGATGTTGCTGCGGATGCTGCAGTGGCTGCTGCGGATGGTGCTGCTGTTGCTGCTGCTGCTGCTGTTGATGCAGGGCGTTGAGGGCGCCGCTGAGCTGGTGCTGATGATGCTTGGTCGCCAGACTGGCCAGCTGCTGTTGCTGCAGCTCGCCGCCCATCCCCGGCAGCATAATTCCCTCTGCGAGTTTGTGTGTGTGTTTGTGGTTTCAGAATCGATGGGGTTGCATATCGATGCGGGGGTAAGCATTAAGAGGAACGGAGTTTTGGGGGGAAAACGACAGAACAGACAAGAACAGCACGCAATTAGAGGTTAGTTGGCAAGAGGGCCGTCTTTGCCAGTCGGTTGGGAGCCCGTCACCCTCTCTTCCTGTTGTGCCAAACATTGGGCAAAGTACCTAATCTGACAGTGCTCTTACTGCTAGACACCTGAAGAACAGTTGAACTAGTCTTGGGATCTTCTGGTTTTAGTTTTGATTTCCGTTAATTAACTTTTTTGAGGCTCTCAATGCGTAAAGTAAAGCCATATCTGGTTAAAAATAATTCAAACTTCTCTAAAATTAAGCAATGTTGCATTTTTATGAGCTTGGTTAATACAGCCCAACTTCATGATAATCTGTTTTACAACGATATGTTGAGAGTTATGTTTGAAGAGTCTCTCTATCTCTCACTTCTCTACATTAACTTTGCTTTGGCCTAGCGGAACCACTTTGCACTTCCTATTAGCCATATCAGGCTGAACCCCCAAATATCGTGTCTCCCACTTGTTAACCCCACACTTACTTGAGTTATGCTCGTAATGGCCATTCTGCTGGTTCATCTTGGCCGGCGAGTCCGTGTTCAACTGCGAGGCGGTCACCGAGCGGGTCTGCAGGGTGTTGGGCTTGGAGTTCAGGGCAGAGCCGGGGGCGCTGGGCAGGCCGCTGCTGGTAGCGCTACTGCCGCCGCCGTTGGGCTCGTCCAGCAGCTGGCGGAGTCGCTGCAGCTGGGCCTCCAGCTGCCGATTGTGGTCCTCCAATATCTGCATGCGCGCCTCGAGTCGTCCTTTGTGCTGGCGCAGGAGCTTAGCTTCCGCCATCATGTCCTGAAACCGCAAGGTTAATAAAAATAAACTTATTTGAAAATTCAATGAAAACCCACCTGTCCCTGCTCGCCCTGGCCAGAGAGACCCGTCATGCTGGAGCCGGAGTGCGTCATGCCGTTGGAGTCGTCGGGCGTGACGCTCTGCTGCTTGGTGCACAGCTGCTGGTACTCTGCCTGCAGGTTGGCGTTCTCCTCCTCCAGATCGCGGATTATCGCCTCCAGTTCCTCGCGCTGCTCCGCGTCCATGGCGGCCATCACTTGGACGGGCGACTTGGGCGCACTGCCGTTGCTGGTGCCGGGCAGGGCCTGGCAATACTGAGCGATCAGCTGGTGCTCGTCGTCGCTGTCCGGCGTGGAGTTGGAGCCCGTGCCGCCGTACTCCACCTGAGCCAGACGCGAGGCGTACATCTCGAGGCGCGAGTGCATGTCGTTCTGCAGCTGGTGGGTCGTGTGCTGCGGGCTGGGTGCCGGACTCTCCAAGGCATCACCTGGTTTATATTTTTATATATTCATATTTAATATTTTATTTAAGAATTTTCTATTGAAAACTCACCTTCTAGGACACTTTGCACGGGAAGGTAGCCGACACGTGGGTGCTTCTTAAAGTATTTGCGACTCTTGAATTTGTTTTTCAGGGCGCGCGTAAAGTCACGAACGTCCTCGGTGGATGTGGTCTGCGTTTTAAAATGAAATAACTAAGTAATTTAAAGTTATAACCAAAAGGGGCCATAGACACTCACAGTGGTGCAGTACTCGTGCATGGGATGCGTGAGCTTGTGGTTCTTGGCGTTGCGGCCGAAGAAGAAACACTTTTGGCACATGTCGAAGTTGAAGCACTTGAGGCATCTGTAGCGGAAGCCCACGATGGGGTACTCCTTGCAGATGTTGCACTTGGCCTGATGCTTGGCCGCCTCCGCCGCTGCCAGGCGGTGGAGCACCGGCAGCCACACCAAGCTCTGAGGCTCGTGCTGCAGCCAGCCCAGGAAGTGCTGCAGCTCGATGGAGATCTCCTGGTTGCCGTCGATGGCCTCCTGGGAGATGCCGGCCTGCTCAAGGCAGGATCGCACCGAGGGCTCGATGTTGGAGCCCCCAAAGGCGGCCACTTCGCCGAGTTGGCGGGGAACCTACGAAAGAAAAAGTGTTAACCTAAACTTAAATAATCAAAGAAATCTTCATTACCTGAATGCAATCATGTAGCAGCAGTCCAAGGCGTCTCTGATCCGCTCGGCGTTCGGTGTCCGCCACCAGGCGGAAGAGGTAGCGGTACTTCTCCTCTAGGTGACCCTTGCAGAGCAGGACCAGTCCCACCTTGAAGCTCAGCACACGGATCTGGCCGGTGCGCTGCGAGTCGTAGACGTTAAGGATCCAGTTGATGGCCAGGTCCAGCATCAGCGTCAAATCAATTTTATCGATTGTCACGTAGAGCGAATGCAGCACGGTGGTCATATCGGGAATGTCGATCAGCTTGTCGTTCTGGGCACGCAGGCCGTGTCGGTCGAAGGATTCGCAAGCGGTGGCCATGGTGATCCTGTCGAGAGCTGTCGAAGAAGGAGGGGAATAAATAACTTGGAAGCGTATAAACTAGCTTTTGGTAACTCACCCAATCGCTTTTGAACGGAGCGCAGTTTCATGGCCGTCCTATAGGCGGAGAAACGAATCTCATTGAGATCCGCCAGGCCCTTCATCAGCTCTATCATCTCCGGATGGTCCCAGTGTGTGGTCTCGCGTTCGTGGCTGCAAGAGAAGCAATTAAATCAAGTTATAATTATACTCTTTTTAATCTCTATTCAAAGAACACTCACTCGATGTAGTAAGGCACATTGGCGGCGGTTGTGGCCCTTTCCCAGGGCGGCTTCACGCTCTGGCCGAGATTGGGCAGCGGTCCGATGGTGCCGCTATTCGACGTGGTGCGTCCGTCGTCGCCATTCTCGTGCGTTTGCTGGGCTCCGGCATGGCACAGGACCTTCTGGCGCTCGTCCATCGCGATTTGCAGTAGTTTCATGCTGTGGAAATGAATTTTGTTATTTTAAATATATTACTTAAAAATAAATAAGCAGAACTCACCGAGTGTTCAAATCCTCTAGCTTGGAGAGGCAGGGCGTGGGAACCAGCACCTGGTTGGCGGTGAAGAAGGACTGCTGCTCGTTGCAGTCATCCAGGAGGGCACTGGCCGTGGTCATCTTGTCTCGCAGTCTCTGCAGCTGCTGCATCTGCTCGTTGGCCTCGCCCACGGAGAAGGGTGGCTGCCAGGAAGCCTTTGTCTGATCGGCGGAGGCAACGCGGGAGCTCAGATCCTCCAGGATCTTCTGGAATTGACGCATTTTCTGCAAACAAACGGATAAACAAAAGGCAGAGTTAGTTTCATGGAAATACAAGATGTGACAGCATTGCGTAATTAGCCATATTGTGAAATCTTTACACCGATTTTGCCCCCTGAATGGGACTTAATTTTCCCCAGACAATGACGGAATATGAATACAGGAGGGAGTGAATACGCCCTTAATATGACCGCCCACAAAACTACAGCTTTTGTTGTCTACTTGCAGGAGTCTTTTCCTTTTTTTTATAATTATGTTTATGAGCTGAGTTGGGCTCATGTTGCCTACCAGCTCAACCAAGTGGGGTTTTTTAACAGGCAAAATAGGAAGTAAAACCAACAAAGTTTATATACTTAATAGTTTATATTGGGAACTTTTCTGTAAAGGTAATTTTATGTTACTACACGTTTAAAGACATATATTTTACTTAAAATAAATCATCATAAATAATATTCATATATCTTAAAGACATCAAATGCCTCCTTATTTAGCTCTCAACTCAACCCCAAAAGCGATCTAAAACATAATTATTTTTTTGGCAAGTATGTGTGAATCTGTGATAGCTGCTCCGTTTTCGTATCTTTCGGCCCCTCCCTGTTTTTAGAACGTGTCCACAGTCGCTTCTTCATTAGCAGTTAAAAGCAGCCAGCTTGAACTTTAACGTTTATGTGCTTTATATGCACTGAGATCCCTGAAACGCCACATCGACCCACTGGGTAACACCCCTAACTGCTCCTTTCCGCTGCGCCAATTTGGCTCTTTGTAACTCCAAACTGTGAAAAAGGCAGCACTCGATCTAGGAGCAACAGGAGGAAAAGGAGCAACATCTGCGCACGTTTCATTTGGCCCATTTTCACCCGGCGCCCAGCACACACACTTCCCTTGAGAAAATTTTCGCTTTTCAATTTTTACCTTGGCGTTTCCCATTCTCTATTCGCCATTCTGCATTTTCCATTTCCATAAACCGGCAACAAAAACTTTCATTGCCTGGCGCTTTGCATGCAACAAGCAAAATGCATTTACCTTGGCAAAGCAAAAGTTTCTGCCAGGAGCCAGGACTAGGGAGCTGAGAGGACCAAGTACTGGATTCCACCCACTTCCCCCTTCTCCGTTTACTTTATTATTTCATTTAGTGTTCCCTGGCTCTCCCCCGGCTGCCCCATCGGATCCTCTTCTTTTTGGCTCCTGTGTAGTTTTTAATTTAGTTTTCTTCGAGTTTGTGTTTTTGATTTGGAACTTTTGCCTTAGCTTTTGCAGCCTTTAACTCTTTGTGGCTCCCGGGGCGACTTTAACCCCATAATGCACTTGTATTGCCAGTTGCCCTCATGTATGACCATGTGTATTGTTTGTGGCATTTCCCAAGGGCCGTCCAGGAATGGAAATTTGAGCATTGTCTTGAAGAGCTCACTAATGAAAAAGCCATTTAAGAAATTGTGTTGTGTTAGGGATTCAGTTCATGGTTGATGTGGGTGTGTAGGGTTTGCATTCCTAGAAGAACACTTCAGGCACAGGTAAGTATATATTGTTTTGTTTCTTATTTAGACATCTCAATTCAAATATACTTTAAAGTTTTCATTTAATACTTTTACAGTTTTTTCTGTGTTATCTGTAAAGTAGTTGTTCTGATTCCCCCAACTCTGGTTGCAATTATTTTGAACTTTCGCAATCTTTTCCCTGCTAATTAAGCACACAAATTATTTCCTGCAACTCCAGTGGAAAACCTTTGTGCGAGTCCCCTTTGAGTATTGCCTCCTATTTCTTTTTTAATTAGCGAAGCGGCGAATGCGGCCAACAAAGGCGCCCAAAGGCTGCGGCCAACTTGTCGCTGGCAATCAATAATTTGTTGTTTACAATAAATATGCAACCCCCGGCCCCTCGCTTATCCCTCACTTGTGTCGCTGCAATGACGGCACCTCCATTAATTAGTGGCAAAAAGCCAGTAAAGTGAGCGCCGCAACAAAGGAACAAGATGAAGGCTGTCTGCCATCGAAGTCGTTATGGAAAGGCATCGGGGGGATGCACTGATAACAGGGCATTGCACTTTTAAAGCTGCCCGCCCTCCTGGGTTCCGGAGTTGAGCTCCGTGTTTAATCAGCGAACGAGGAGGAGGAAGGGTCTGCTCCACGTGCATTGTGCGACTCTGGCAAAGGAATCCCTGCAAAGCCAACAAGGAGCGGGCCTTGGCAATAGTTGTAGGCGTTTGTCCATGGCGTGTGCTCGAAAAGCGCAACTCTGTGTAATGTAATACCAGCTTGACTCCATAACAGTTGCTAGGCTCTGCTACACCGGGGTCTTCCGAGCAGTGAGCTTAGTTAAGTTAAATAAAGAAAACTCTGCCGCCATACTTTCTATGGCATCAACAAAGAGTGCACAGGGAGAAATCTTTGTTGAATTTTTATAGGTAATATAACAAGCCCTCAACAGGAGAGGTTCATAAATTTGTATCATTTTTTACAGCCTAAGAAGTCCCATGTTTTTATAATGAATACTAGAAGTAAGGAATAATTTCTTTTGAATTTGTTTTAGAAATATATTTTTCTATATGCTTTTTTTCTCCATATATTGAGCTCCATGTTACCCCTTGGAATGGGAAGTCATGTGTCACAATGTCGGATATTTCTACCTTTAACTGACATTTTGTGGGAAAAATGGCGATTTAAACAGGAGTTGAGTCAATCAATATATCAAAATTGTTGCTCACTCCTTTTTCCTTTTTATTCCTCTCTCTCTCTCTCGTTCTCTCTCTCTTATTCATTGAAGCTTGAAACGGAAATCCTTGCTTGCATTAATTAATTGAAATTGCAAGTGAGAACGAAAAAAGTTTTACTCAAACGAACAAATGGGGAATCGGGGTAAAAAAGGAGCGAATAACGCAGAGAAAGGAAAACTCGGTTAGCAGCTTGGTCATTTCTTTTTTAATAAGGACACATTTACTTAAATAAATCACGACCAACAAGGAAACTGAATCCTTTATGACTGAGGGTGGGAATTAATCAAGATTTCAAAGGAAATGATGGAAGAGAGAGAGCTGGATATACACAGAGGAGAGAAAAGAAGCTGTTTAATTAAAATGGGAAATTAAAATGTATATATTATAATCAGACAATACGAGGGTAGGCTGATAAAAAGTCGGCCTTACAAAGAAAATACGTATTTTTTTAATTTTTCTTTTTTATATTTCAACATAATCTCCTTTTAGACGTATGCACTTGGACCACCGATCCTCCAGTTTCCCAATACCTTCTATAAAATAGGATTTGTCCAGGTCCTTAAAATAGGGGTTTGTTTCACAGACTAACAGTTCATTTTACTGAAATTTCTTATCCCCAAGCCATTTTTTTTAATTTTGGAAATAAATAATAGTCACAGGGTGCTAAATCTTGAGAATAGGGTGGATGGGATAGAATTTCGTAGTGCAATTCACACAATGCTATAGCTAATTTAAAGGGGTCAGGAGTGTTTAAAAAGCCCATTCGAAGGACATAAATTGTAGTTTATGGGATAGTTAAAATTATAAATAATTTTTTTTTGGGCTATAGAATTTTTTGGAAAGTAGAAAGAAATTTGTTTTAATGTATAAGTAATAATTTATGTAGCTAGTGATCACTTGTAAACAATGACTAATATTCAGACCACGCCTGTTAGCCGATGCACAAACCTCGTTCTCGTCGCGTAATATTCCCACAACCTGGAGGAACATGCGCTCGGCCTCGTTCTGCGGATCATAGTTGGAGTAGGTGTCGTCCACCAGTGTAATGTCGCCCAGGCGACAGTGAAGCTGCTCCTCGGAGGACGATGAGTACAGCGACATCATGTTGCGTCGCCGCTCATCGGCAACGTGTTGCACGCTGGCAGCCACTGTGGCCGGTGGACTCTCCTGCGGTGCCTCCAGTGGTGGCTCCGCCTCATCGCATCCACTGCTGCTCAGTTGGGAATAGCTGAGGCTCAGCTCATCCATCTCCCCACCTTCATCATCGTCGTCCAAGTCCTCGTCCTCCTCCTCTTCCCCGTCATCCTGCTCCATGTCGTGCTCCAGTTCGGTGCCGCCGGTGCCGCTGTCGCCGCTCTGCGAGCTGGCCTTGGCCTTGGCCACGCCCACACTGCCTGTTGCCGCCCCGACGTTCACCACCACCAAGTTGTTCAGGTTGCTCAGGTGGCTCAGGTGGTGGCTGAAGTGGTGCGATTCATTGCTGCTGCTGCTGCTCCGACTGCGACGCTTCATCGAGCGAAAGGGGGCGAGGAGGCGACGCCGAGTGCTGCAGGTGGGCGTGGCATAGGGGGGTAGCATCTCCGCTGTCTGCGGATGGATCTTGGGTGCCCCCGAATAACGCTCCAGCGACCTTGACTTACCCCCATTGCCTCTGGTATGGGAATTTTCAATAATCTCGCCAGCCTCATCGCTGGAACTGTTGCCAATAGGCGGCGATGCTGCAACATGGCTGTTGCTTGAGAACAGTCGCATCCTGGAGGAGTTCTTCTGGTGGAGATCTTAGTTATGACTCCAAGCAGCTACTCCTGCTGGTATTTAAATCGCTAAAGCTCCTCCTAGCTGCTCCTTCAAGTGCTGATGAGATGTCGCTGTCGCTCCTGTTGCTGCTGATATTCCTTCAGCCGTTGCCGTTGCTCGTTTCTGATGCTGCTTAATTAATCTTGCTCTATGCAGATTTCAGGTTTTCGCCTCTCCCGCTGCTGCTGCTTCTCCCGGAGAAAATCTTAGGCACTTGGCTGCATCGTTTTAGGGCACATTCTTGCGTAATGAACGTTGTTTTTATGCGCTTATCTATTTATATAAACCGGTTCGACAGGATTCAGCGTTTATTATTCCGTTTTCTCTCCCTTTTCTCCTTTCTGGCCGAATATGACAAAGGCGTCCCATGATGTACACACAAATACTACACGTACGATTTGTGTGTAATTCCCACTACAAATATGCAAGGCCGAGTCAATAAGCCACTCAATTACGCCGAAATTTCCCAGCTCACGCCCCCCTTGCGTGCCCCCCTTGG